AGCGTATTACTCCACCCCGCGACTTTTCTCCGGCCCCGCGTGCCCGGGCTGCCGGCCACAGCCCGCATGCACACAGACCGGCCCGGCTCGTGCCCGGTGAGGACGGGACCGGGAGCCAGCCCGCACACAATCTTAAACTGAATATACAGTGCTAAGCCCCTAGCAGATATGTAAAGCTTCTAGATTATTTTAACTGGAGAAAAAGGTGCTGTTTTTATATGTGATGATGATGCACCTAATTCTGTGCACCCCCCTTTTAAAAAAATCTAGATCTGCTCCTGTCTGCAGCCATAGCTTCTAAGTACATGCAACAACATTAGTTTAATAAACTGAATATTGGGAAGCCCTGGCAAAGATCTTTGTAGAAGATTAAGGTACTGATACTATTTATGCGGTATGGTACTATTTCTTCTAAATTAGTTCTTCAGTGCCAATACTTCACATGGGCTAAGTACAGATAGTCAAAAAGCCTGAGGCTGAATCAATTCAATCTTTGCAGGTTAGTCTAAAATGTGTAGACTGAACTGATAATCAAGTGAACAGACATTCAACTTTTGATTCTGGAAATGTAGCCACATGCTTGCAGTGGTCTAGGCCAGAAGCCTGGGGGCACTAGGGCATACCTCTTTGCTTGGCTGGAGCAGATAGCTTGGGCCAAGACTAACCCATCCACTTTGTGGGGGAGGGAAAGTGGTGGGGGAGATGCAAAGCATCCTGGGATACTGGAGGACTTTGACTTAACTTGAATCTGGAGGGGATCTGGGACAGAAGTTCAGTAAACTGATTTAGGTTAAATCAGTTAAGTCTGATACTACATCCATCCAGGTTTATCTTAAATCGGTTTCAGCCATTTTGAAAGCAATTTATGTGCACTGAACTTCTGTTGTGTTACAAATTTGAATCGGTTTCCAATCACTTATACTGGTTTATCTGTAATTTCTGTCTCTAGCCATGGTGTTAGGGACACAGTTGCTTGACATGTTTTCAAACAGAAGATAAAAATCAGGGCACATGACCAAGGTATTGGAATTAAATGAGGGTGGGGCTTTACAGTACATTAGCTGCATTGTAATGTCTGCCAAAGTGCCTGCTCCTCCTAAGTAGAAAATAAATTTAATCCATCATCACGTACTCAGTAAGACAACTTTTGTTTGCTTACTACAGGGAAAGAACATGTTTATGCGCTGTTACCATAAAGCAACTGATGCACTGCAAAGTGGTGTCTCTTTTACTGCACAGGAAGTAGTGAGCCCGTTCTGTGGAATCTTGGCCTCTTGTATTCATTGAAACAGCAGAGGCATCAACCTCTGTGTCCTAAATCAATACTAAATTTGGGTAGTACATTCTACCTTACTCAAATTCCCCACTAGTTTTCCACAAATAGGGTACTTCTTCACACGCTCCCCTACAAAACAGTTTTCTAGTGTTGTGTACTTCTTAATAATTGTTGTATTTTACATTAGAAGTGGCTGTAGGTCATTCATTTATTTATTCATTCATTCAATTTACATGGTGCCCTCTGTAAAATTGGCTCAAGACCACTTACAAAACCCCACCTAAGTTAAATTATAGAAACAGAAAGAACCATAGAAAATTAAGGTTGGAAGGGACCTCAGGTCATCTAGGCCAACCCACCTGCTCAAAGCAGGACCATCCCCAAAGAAATCATCCCAGCCAAAGCTTTGTCTAGCCGGGTTTTGAAAACCTCCAAGGATGGAGCTTCTACCACCTCTCTGAGTAACATGTTCCACTGTTTTACTACTCTCCTAATGAGAAAATTCTTCCTAATATCTAACATAAACTTCCCATGCTGCAACTTGAGACCGTTGTGCCTTGGTCCGTCACCTGCCACCACTGAGAACAGTCTAGCTACATCCTCTTTCGAACCCTCCTTCAGGTAGTTGAAGGCTGCTAGTAAATCCCCTCTCAGTCTCCTCTTCTTTAGACTAAATAAGACCAGTTCCCTCAGCCTGTCCTCATAAGTCATGTCCTCCAACCCCCTCATCCTTTGTTGCCCTCCACTGGACTCTCCCTAATTTGTCCACATACTTTCTGTAGTGGGGGGTCCAAAACTAAGCACAATACTCTAGATATGGCCTCACCAGTGCTGAACAGAAGGGAATAATCACTTCCCTTGACCTACTGGCAACACACCTACCAATGCAGCCCAGTATGCCATCAGCTTTTTTGGCAACAAGGGTGCACTGCTGGCTCATATTCAGCTTATTCTCCACTGTAACCCCCAGGTCCCTTTCTGCAGAACTGCTGCTTAGCCAGTCAGCCCCTAGAAAAGTGCAGAACTCTGCACTTGTCCTTGCTGAACCTCATGAGATTCCTTTTGGCCCAATCCTCCAATTTGTGTAGATCACTCTGAATCCTAGCCCTACCCTCCAGTGTATCTACTACATCCCCCAGCTTGGTGTCACCTGCAGACTTGCTGAGGGTGCATTCTATACCATCTTCCAGGTTGTTGATGAAAACATTGAACAAAACCGGCTCCAGAACCAACCCCTGGGGTACTCCTCTTGATACCAGCTGCCAACTAGACCTCGAGCCATTGATTACTACTCTGAGCCTGATGCTCCAGCCAGTTTTCTATCCACCTTACAGTCCATTCATCCAGCCCAAACTTCCTTAGCTTGCCTGGGGAATTTTGTGGGATACTGTATCAGAAGCCTTGCTAAAATCAAGGTACACCACATCCATTGGTTTCCCCACAACCATAGAACCAGTTATCTCATCATAGAAGGCAACCAGGTTAGTCAGGCATGACTTGCCCCTGGTGAATCAATGCCAACTGTTCCTAATTATCTTCTCCTCCAAATGTTTAGAAATGGATTCCTTAAGGATCTGCTCCATGATTTTTCCAGGGACTAGGGTGAGGCTGACTGGTCTGTAGTTCCCTAGATCCTCCTTTTTCCCTTTCTTAAATATAGGCAATATGTTTGTCCTTTTCCAATCATCTGGGACCTCTTCTGATCACCATGAGTTTTCAAAGATGATAGCCAATGATTCTGCAATCACATCAGCCAACTCCATCAACACCCTTAGGTGCATCCCATCCAGCCCCATGGACTTGTTCATGTCCAGCTTTTCCAAGTAGTCCCTAACCTGGTCTTTCGTCACTAATGGCTGCTCAACCCCTCCCCAAACTGTGCTGCCCAGTGCTGTAGTTTGAAAGCTGACCTTGCCTGTGAAGGTTGAGGCAAAAAAGGCATTGAGCACTTCAGCCTTTTCTGCATACTCTGTAATAAGGTTTCCTCCCCCATTCAGTAAGAGACCCACACTCTCCCTGATCCTCCTCTTGCTACCGATATACTTGTAGAAACCCTTCTTGTTTAGAATATTTAAATACGATGGCATGTTATAGAACAAATGAGAATATGTTAAATAAATTTAACTGCTAGTACTGGAGTACCTGACTTCAGGATTATGAGACCACTGGGCAGAGGGGAAGGATGTTTAGAGATCCCTTCAAATGACTGCATGTAGGGGACCTTTGATTCATTCTGGTGCTGACAGCTTGGAGTAAATAATATTCTCCTACTTCTACACACTGATACTGTTAAAGCATTTTTATTAAATATCTAACACACTGAAACTGTGTCCCCACATGCAGGGGTGTACACTTGTAGTGGCACAAAAAGGCTGCTACTTTTTGCTGCTTCACACGCCCCTGCATGTGGGCTGTGGTGCAGGGCCAAATGCCCTGCTAAGGGCAGATTGCTCCTTCTCAAACTTCTCCCAGCTCCTGGAATGTTAGAGGAGCCAGGGTAGACCTGGAGGAGGCAAGTCGCTCTCACCAGCAGCCAGAGCATCTCTCTGGAGAACCCAGATTCCACTTGCTCCTGTGCACATGCACTGTGCTGCTTTTTTTGTTGTGGGGTTTGTTTGTTTGTTTGTTTGTTTTTTTGTTTGTTTGTTGTGTTTTGGGGGGGGGGGGAGGGTTGGTACTGGGAGTTCCCAGTATCAAATTTTGGTTCCATGCTGCAAATTTGTAGCATGGTGCACAGTTGCATCTGCACTGCATGTGGTTTGCAGCACCTCAAACAGGTTTGAGGCACTACAAATCATATGTGCGTGCTCATCTGGATGTATCGTGAAGTACTGAAATAGTACTTTTTCCTTCCTGCCATATGATGTATGATGTGTGATAAACAAGATGTCACTCGCAATCAGGAATGAAAAAATCACAAATCACACGTGGTAAAGACTGTGAAGATTAAAAGAACAGTGCAATTCTTTAAATGTGTGTTTACTGACAGGGCTCTGAGAAATTCCCAGCTTCTGCAGACTTTCTTATCAAACTTATCTCAGATTACAGTGGTAAAAATTTTTCTCAAGGATTTATTAAATACTTTGGGTATTCTAAAGGATGATGGCATCTGACAAAAGTAGGCTGTTGCCTATGAAAACGTACGCCCCTCTGAACCAGTTAGTTTCTGAGGCACCATCTTGCCCTGCCTTCTGCCTGAAGGATGATGGAGTATATTACAAATATATGAATATAAAATCATTAGACCAAATGCATAAAACCAATGAAGTCAGTAGAGTTGGCCCATTATCACATATGGTATATTGGCAATAGGTACATGACAGCATACATACTAGTTTATATAAGCGTACTAGTTTATATAAGCGTTTGCATTTTAAAAGGTAGAAGTTAATAAGTAATACATGGTTTGGGCTACCATAAAGAGGGTAAATCAACTGGAAATCTAACAAATTCCATTTATACAAGAGAAAATACTAGTATGTAACTTTCTGAGCTGGAAAGGGTATAAACCAAGATAACCTCTGTAGACAAAAGCAGGCAACAGCATGCCAATCATTATATAGCAAAAGTCTAAATTTTAACCATACTTAAGGTGCTCCAAGATTTAAAACCAAAATCACAGCAATAACAAACAGTCATTTGAAAATGAAGGTGGTAAAAAAAATTCTGTAATGCAATTCACAAAAACAAAGAATAAAGCTTTGTAACTGACAAAGCAGCTTACCTTGAGAAGTTGAGGAAATGAACATGTCTAGTGAATAAATAGGGTTGCTCAGCAGTGCTTATATTTTTAATCAGTTCCATCTAAAAGAAATATTAACAAGATTAACAAATAAATGTAAGTACACCGTCATTTTTTTTTTATTAGAAACATAGTCCTCAAACAATATATAACCATCTAGTTTACAAGTCCAAAACCTACTATAAACAAACAAACAAACAAACAAACAAAGCTGCCTGTATAATCTGGGTAATTCCATGACTACTTTTTTTGCCCATGTACGGTGAGTAGATGTACATAGGTCAATCATGTCAGTCTAAGCTTCCACCTTAACACTGCAAATCTGGGTTGAAATTATCATACAGCCAGGAGTTCACTTGCTTCCAAAAGTTAATATTTGCTTTATTTTTTAATTAAAAACCCTTGCTCTGTTCAAATCATGATCTGAATTCTGCAAATGGTTTGTATCCTTAAAAATAGCTTAAACACTGACTCTGATAACTGCATTTCCAAAACCCAGTGTGTTTGAACTCTGTATCAGAAAGTGTGGCTGAGGCCGTAACAGTTTTTACATAATGATAATAGTTCCTGTCATTGTTCAATTGCTATGGATGGAAGTCTGGTCATCTATACAAGCAAACGTTTACCATTTCTTCTTTTACATGTCATATTTAGAATGTGACTGTAATTTATACTTCATACAAAATCCTTTTCAAAAGCTGGTGCCAAGTGTTAGTTCTTTTAACCTACTTGCAGTCAAAACATTTTAGTACGAATTTTTAAGAATTGTGTCATTTTTTATTTGCATTATTAAAGATCATTAAAATGTTAACATATAAAACAGCTGAGATTAAAAAAATGTAAATGCATGGGGGGGGTGTACATGCGTGTGTGCACAGACATCTATCTTTTATAGCATTCTGGAACATACCAGGGCCTGAAAGTGTTAAATGGAATATGTACCAAAAATTCCAAGCATTCTTGTTGCTCTGACTTCCTGACTTCTACTCTCCTCAGATTTTACTTGGCTGCATCTGTTCTGTTCTCTAATACAAGCTATAATAGAGAATAAACAACATTGAACATGACAGCATTTGAAGAGCACAGAAATTAAACCGATACATTTTACAAACTGTGCAGAAACTGGCAAAAATTCATAGTTTAAAGAGAAGTAATAAAGCCAAATCAATTGCTTGATCTAATTTGGATAACTATGCAAGCTAAAAACAAGTAAAAGCAAAATAGAGACATACAATCTATTATTTAATGATTTAACTATAAATTATCCTACTAAAATCTGACAGAACTTAATAGAAAGTGAGCTCCATAGGGAGAGACATAATTTATATTAAATGAGACAGTTTGAAAGCCATGTAAGAAATGTTAGTGCTTCCTATTATATTCTATAAGACTTTTCAATGAGCAAAGTCAGCTACCCACCTTATTTTAACAAGGGGCAAAGGATAACTGCTGGGATGATAACTTCGGAAGGACCCAAAGCATACAGAACTGTCAGGCTGGAGAAACTTACTTTAGTGTGGAAAATCCACTTTGGCTACCCAATCCCCATTTTGATCTCTTGACACTGTCACTGCTTTTCCTTTATGTATCACAGGTCATTGCTGCTTCTCAATTCTGTTTTTCATTTTCAATTTTAGATTTTTCTAAAGATTTTTATCATGACTGCATCTTTTAAGTCATACTAAGCCTTTCCCATTACACCTGGGGGATGGAATTAAAAAGCAACTGGATTTTCATAGTTATGGGGTGCATCCACCTGTGCCATTAATGCACATAAATACACTCTAGAGTTTTTTTTGTCCCAGGCATACCATTTGAATGGGCTGGCAGGGGACTCAGTGGGTTTGGGGGGGAAGAGGGGGGTGTCAGCCTCCCAGCTCAAGGCTGCTCTGACCAGGCTCCATGTGCTGCGGAGGGGCTGGCTGAGGCGTAAGGTGCGTCAGCACACAGGGTGCCTGATGACTAGCCCCACACTGAAGCACCCTGTATCCCAGAAGGCAGGGTCTACACATGTGCTGCTGCACACGAAAAAACCCTGCAGCTGGGGAGTTCTCGTATTTACAAGTACTCACCTGCTCTGGAGCTTATTAGTTTTATGCACCCTAATAGGGATGTACGTGTAGATGGGGAGACATTTACCGTGCAGTTAATTAGTCAGCTACTCAGTAAATGTCTCATGTAGATGTGCCCTATCAGACATATGCCTCTCTATCCCTGTGATCAACAATGGATGCTCTCCCCAGTGTGTGCGAGGACCAGTGATGTAGTCATGAACTTGTCTCCACCCTGTTAGGCATGCGCCTCTACTGATAGACTATTCCTGTCACACTTGCTCCAGCATGTGAAAGATCAGGGTTATTTCTTCTGGATTAAGTCTATAGACATTATACACTCTAGGGAAGAGGGGACAAAAAAAGAGATGGGTTTCAAAAAGAAAAAGTTAATGGGATGTGGCAACACAAAGGCAGTGGTAAAGCAGAAAAACGGATCTATTGCTGAGGTCCCAATCTCCCATCAATTCTTATATGGCATAATAGTTAATTGTAATAACAAAGGCGATTCTTGAAGTAATCCTGCCAAGTAGTATGAAAATACAGTAACTCCCCTGACTGAACAGTATATGCTACCTTTTTCTAACAAACTACAGGCTGGAAACACACCACAGTGATTCTAAGTAGCCATTCTAATTAATCTCTGGATTGTTTGATCCAAATATAAATAGTTTCTTCTACAACTCTCACAGTACAGTATTTCAAAGACTAACAGAGACACTTGCACACAATCTGGGCAAAAGAATATAAAGAACTGGATTAGATTGCACAGGGGAGCACAGAACACTCATTTTCCAGCAAAAGTTACTGTTGCCAAACAAATGTTAGCATCTTGAATTTGCTGAATAGGTGGCAGCTGTTTTTGAAGATCCTCACAGTATACTGACACATTGATAATATTAAGAGGCTCCCTTAGCTTCAAGCAAGGAGTAGAAGAGAGGTTACAATGGCTGAATCTCAGGTGGCACTTCTTTAAAAAATAACTGTATTATAGGAAAAATGAACCTGTCGGCACTATATACTTTATAGTATATTTTAACTGCTTCATTTCACTTGCATGAACATGTGGCATAAGGAAGTCATTCACTACTGATGAATATTCACTTCACCACAACATGGTGCTGAAACAGTTCTTGATGGAATGTGTTAAAGCATAAATATGCACACATCAGTCTTGTAAAAATATATTACATGGTGTCTCATATTAACATGTGTCTGTCTCTCTTATCAGCACCAGCTTGCTAGGGTTACTATTGTCACAACCCAAAGTTGTGGATTTTTTGATTGTGTGTGCTTCGGCACCGCTAAATTATGTTCCCGCCAAATTGCAGCTCTTTTGCACGACAGAGTGTTCTGTTGTTATAGAGAACCCGCGTGCAGAAAAGTGTTTCCCGCCGTTTTGTAGCCTTCTTTGCATTGTGCATTTCTCTTGCATTTAGTGATGCACGCTGCAAAGGAGTTCCCGCCATTTGTATTAAGATTTGAGCCACATTATTGGCCGGTCTTAATTTAGGCACATGTGGCGGCTAGCTATTGGCTTGCTAGCCATACAAAAGGCTTGGGTGGTTTCCGCCCAAGTTGGAGAGAAAGACGGAGAGAGACGGAGGGAGAGACGGATCTCTAAGCGCTGTGGGTCCTTTCGAACCCAGCGCGTCTTTCTTAAGGCGATAGAGGCTCCAATTGCCGAACCCCCGGAGCCTAGCAAACTCCGGGGCACCACTCACTGACGGCCTCTAGCCTCTCCCCGTCACCAATCGCAGCCCAGACGAATCCTTACCCTAGAACCCAGTTATCGACACCACGGAGTCT